AAAGAATGAGAGAGTAGTTGTAATGTTACCATCATTTGTTACCAAAGAAGAAAAAGCATTTTATACAAGTCCTTTTCCACCCACTTTACTACTTTAAGCATCTCTTCACTATTTGGACAATCCTGCATTTGCATGCGTTCATCAACATTATGGGTAGTGCTAGAGAGATTAAATTTGTAAACAAAATTTGCAAACTAAATGATGTGTCACCAATAGAAATGAGCATATTTATCAACATTTTAAGTCATAATCCAATCACCAACTTCCATGTGATTTAATTTGCAAAATTTTGTCTACAAATTTAGTCTCTAGCACTACCCCAACATTATATATCTCTTGTTTCTCCTTTGTATTCTAGTATGCCAAATGCTTCTTAATTTATATATCCAAATTAATTATAATCTATTAGACTCTCTTTCAGCCTTTAGGTTGTTATAATTTTAGTCTTTCATCTGTAAACATTACCTAATTTTCATGTATTTTTGTTCCCCCATACATATAGGGAAATAGTAATCACACATCATTGTTGTTCCCTTACAGGTTTTTGTTTTGAGTTAATCCGTTGTTTCTAGTTGATTTATTCAATATGATAACCAGAAATAATAAGATCTTGTTTCAAGAGATGTAAGACAACCAGTAGACTGTCAGTGCACCATCGATCGATTATTGGTTGTCACATCTTGCGAAATGGATCCCATGTCCAATTAGTTTAATTTGGAACTCTCTTTTTCTCTTTTAAAATTTCGGATCATATATATGGAACTGTAGCTAGCTAGTACATTCTTGCACTCTTGTACAGAAAAAAAAAAAAAAAACATTCTCTCTTCTTCCTCTATTGAATGCTTGCTTTACGATGGAAAAAAAACATTATTATTTTTACTTTTCGTTTTCTCTCTTTAAAATTTCGTTATTTCCTCAATGGTATATGTTGCCCTAATAAATTGCTTAATAGCAGGATAAGTGTTGTCCAGATGCTTATTTGGTTTCTTGTGATGACTCTTTATTCTTTTGTGATTGATGCTGCCGCAGATTTGGGTGACTTTTTGTTTTAGTTGGAACCTGGAAGTAACGTTGCATACAAATGTTGACTAATGCTGCTTAATTAAGGGCTAATGAAGGTGTCTAAATTCAGTGCTTATTCAATAGACATATATATATATATATATATATATAACTAGATTGGTTTGATCATGTGGGTTTCATTCACATTCATTTTTTTGTTTTATATTAATTTTCCCTATTCTGCACATGATCACCTTAATTATATGACATGCGTGTGCCTCTCTCTCTCTCTCTCTCTCTCCCTCTCTCACACACACACACACACACACACGTAGATATATAACCCTTCTCACCTGCTATTCCGACTATTTTATGTATTTTATTCTTTTTCCCAAGTCTCTCTCGTAACATTTGTCCCGTCTTCTTGTTGGCTGCATGTACCTGAATTGTATTCTTTCTGTATTGGGTCTTATATATTCATCCTTCAGATCTATGCACTTCATATATATGCAGCGCGAAATTTGATTCATTAATATAAGTTGGCAAAGTGCTCATTGTTTAGGCTCTTCCTGCTCATTCCATGATTTGTTTCCAATCATTTTGTCTTTCAGATTTGATTAATTAACATAAAATGTCTTTAATAATAATAATAATAAATAAGGTAATGCTGCATGCTAGGGAGCTAGCTTAATTTGTTCTGAATGAAATTACGCCTTCATGAAATTTCACGTATAACATATAAAACAGTGTAGTTTGAGTTATACGACAAATCTTTATAGTAGATGCAGTATTACATACTTTATCATACTAACTAATAATTATCGAATAAAACCTAGATGGTTGTCTGATGCATTCTGTAGTTAGGGTTAAGATGATGCATATCATGCTGGGTTTTGGAAAGACGAAACTGGCTAGCTAGGGTTGTGGTTAGAATGTTATTATTTAGTAACTTGGGCAGACCTCGCGTTGATTCATGTTAATGAAAATATAGCAACCTTATATCTATTGTTAAAAATAAAATAGAAAAATTGTTGAATCCTCCCTTGTCACACTATGTTATGATCATATGCTCGTTTGGTAGACATGATTGGTTAGGATTAAATTGAAATGGAGAACTTGCAAAGTTCAAGGTACATTAATTGAAGGTGCAAATGAAGGATTTTTTCATTTGGAGAGGAGTAGAAAAGGATTAGCTATGCAAGATATTCATCCCTTCTAATCCTGCCATTTTAAGGAGGATTGAAATAGATGGAAAATTCAAATGGATAAGGTTTTTTTTTTAATGAATGATTCATCTTCCATCCAGCTTCTAGGCGGTCGTAAATTTATAATTTCTTCCTTCAACCTACCTTTAATATAGTAGATTATTTATTCCATTTCAATCATGAGTACTAAACGAGCATATAATTTTGGTAGTTCCTGTATGAGAAAATGGTAATAACATTTTCAGTCATAATGTAAGTTTATTCCACTTTATTTCTTTTATGTAACAAGAGGTTTAATTTCTATCTTGGTAACATTAAGGAAAAGTTCACATCTCTGTTGGCCAAGGTATATAGAAAAGTAATTGACCTCGCTAGTCCGATCAAAATTTGGTGAATTCGGTTTTATTTTTATTTTTATTTTTTATTTTATTTTTATTTTTAATGTCATTAATTTGTATACATTTTTCAATTTGTCTTATGAACTAAAATTTTAAGCAATTAGTCATATCAGTTTTCTGAAATCATGAATTTGTTGTTCCGTTTTAGCATTGTTAAGTTTTCCATTCAAAATACTTGCACATGACTTGTGTTTAGGATTATTTTGGACATTTGACCTCATTTTTCATTTCAATAGTCATGAGCAATAATTTTGTAAAAACAAACAACGTGAGTTTGATTTTTACCATTGTTTTAAAGGACAACCATACTTCAAGAACATATGATACTATACAGTTGGAGAGAAACTCGATCAGAATTATATCATGTCATTTTATTGGTTTTCATTTTTGTTTTAGAATAGAAATAATATTCCATTGAAAAATCGTTTTTCTTTTTTAGTTTGTAGAAACCTTAGATTGTTGTTTTGCCAAAAACAATTTTTATAAAAGGGAGTGGATAGTTGAAATGTCTTAAATAATCCTAAACGCAAGTCATGTGTAAGGCACAAGACTTATTTTGAATGAAAAACCTCGTGGAGTTAAGGGCATATGACAAATTAATGATTTCAAAAAATTGATATAATAAATCGTATAAATTTTAGTTCATATAACAAATTGATAGAAGTGTATAAGTTCATATGAAAATTTAAAATGTCCTAATTTTATTTTTTTTCTTCTCAATTAACCTTTGAATGGTACCAAAGAAAGTTTCTTTAAATGGATACCTTAAATATTAATTTGAAAATTTGAAATTTTTTTTTTTTGAACAAATGATATTATCTTTGGTACAGGAAAATGGATTAAACCTCATAATGAGTTAACAATAATATGATTCAAATTCGCATTTAGTGAGAATTGAATCTAAGACGTTTCATTTACAAGTGAAGAGAAATATCATTAGGTTGTATTAAGTGACAATTTTACAAGTTGAACTTGAAAAATTTATAAATAAATAAAGACTAATTGTTTGGGTATCACTTGCAGTAATTCAGGAATGTTTTTTTTCGTTGAATCGTATGGAAAAGAAGATGCCTTGAATTCTAAACGAGAATTGGAAAATCAAAATGCACCATTGGAATTTGGAATTTAGAGAGGAGAAAATAATTTTCGCTGCTTCTCCTCACACACCACCTGTATGCATGGATTCCTCTTTTTACTACATTTAAATATTTTTCATGGTAAAGGCAAAGAAAAGAAGAGGAGGGAAAAGTTGATTCATTAACATTTGATTAAAATTAATGAACGTCCAATATAAAACAAGACTCAGTTGAGCTCTTCATTTCAATTTCCATCGTCGATAGGTTCCTTTAATTTACAGATTGAAGCAAAATAACGCAAAAGTTGTGTTATCAGACGAGTTATCTTGACTACTGATCTGCATGCTGCAAAAATTCAAATTATACATTTACGAAAGGTGTATGTTTGCTTTCAAACTTTAGTATTTTCGATTTTTTTTTAAACAAACGATATTATCTACGCTAAGAAGGAGGGGGGTGGTGGGCTTAGTCTCACAATTGAAATAATATGGTTCAAATTCTCTTTTGACCATAATCAAACCTAAGACCTCCACTTACAATTAAAGAGGAATACCGCTAGACTGTAGTAAAAAACGACTCTGATATTTTGTTTTTTGCATTATACAAAACCTTCAAAAACATGTTTCAAAAGTTTGAAAATCAATTTAATGAAGAGACAAGTTCCACATGAAGTAGGGCCTCTTAAGAAATGGATGTACCCAAAGTGATATATGGATAATGAGTCTTGAGCCATTTTCTTGTCCATGTATATTTAAAGAATAATCATTTTCTAACCCATGAATCCTTAGATGCGAATCTAATTACTATATTACCTTTTAAAATTAACTTCATCCACGTCATTTAGTACTAAGATATAATAATATTCATCTTCACTTGTAAGTGAGAAGTTTTATGTTCGATTCTCTCCAAAGACGAATTTGAATTACATTATTGCAAACTATTATGAGGCTAAGCCTATCTCCCTCTCCCTTAGTATACATAATATTTAAAAAAAAAAAATGAATAAAATAACTTCAATCTTACAGTATGGATGAAATTGATAAAGTTTAAAGAAGTCACGGACTCGTTTTTTTCTGGAAAAAATATTTTACTGTATCTTTCAAAATTGTACTTTTTAACAGTAAGTGCTAACAAAACCAAACCTAGCGACCAAATTGACAAAAACTATAACGACCAAAACTGAAATCGAGGTAAAACCTAGTGACCAAACACGCATTTTACCCTCTAAATCAAACAACCGGACACGCATTCTAAACGATTTCCAGCAAATTTTCCCATGACATAAAAAACACCACTTCTTCCACATCAAGCGCTGCACATTACCAAAGCTTAATGCATAAAAAGTGACTAGTATGATAGCATCACATTAGTTTAGCAAATAGTTTCAATTCTCTGCAAGAAGATAACATCTATGAACTATATAATAAATCCTACTTTTCATTAGGGCTAAATAATACATTAGGACACGCTAACGTCTCTAAGCTCTACTTGGGCAGCTGCTGCATTAACGGCATCCAGAACATCCATCTTTCCCCCGCTTACTGCTTCATCAACTGGAGTCCTTTCGTAGCTGATGATAACAAATGCCACAACCATCGTCATGAATAAAAGGTGTATAATTTTTTTTTTTTTTTTTGTCAAATAAAGTCAGGGTTTAGTTAAACATGCTACAATGCTCAGGGTTTAGTTAACATGCTACAATGCGTACCTGTTCAATACACTGAGATTAGATCCTGCTAAGATCAATTTCTTAACGACCTGCAAAGGCATGAATGTTACACGAAGAAGTAGCATGAGTGGATATCAATGTGCCTGGCAACCAAATTAATCACCTCGACATGTCCATTCAGGCAAGCCCAATGTAGCGGTGTATTCATCTCCTCATTTGTAGCATTCAAATCCTTACACGAACAACACAAACTTATTAAGTTTACCATATTGACATATCATCACAAGTGGAGATTGGATAACATGCAATCAATCTATTCCAAGACATCACAATGGAAATAATAAATAGGTTTTTTAGCCAAAATGGTCCCTGAAATCGGCATAACTCCTCACTTTGGTCCCTAACAATGAAATCGATAGAAGTGGTCTCTGAGTTTGTCCATCATAAATCAACCTTATGTGAAAAAATAAGCCAATATCCTCGTTAAGTGGAGGGGTTTGTTTGACAAAAATACCCTTAAAAAGGTGGTCACGTGGTCACACACGTGAGTATTTAACGAGGATATTGACAGATTTTTTACGGAAGGACGAAAATGATTTCTGATGTACAAACTGAGGGACCACTTCTATCGATTGTCATTGTCAGGGACCAAAGTGAGGAGTTGTGCCAATCTCAGACCATTATGGCCAAAGCCTAATAAATAAACTAAAAACTTCAAGATGAAAACGAAAATAACAATCAAAACTTTAAATAACTAGGCCTTTTTATGAGTGACAAACACTAACGTAAATGCTTTGTATCAGCTAAGTAATTGCTTTAGTAACAAGATGAAAGCTTATTGTGGAAGAAAACTTCCTGGTGTTTCACTGTATTACTCCTATAATCTATTAATGAGTCATCCACCTAAAAACGTTACTATAGTAAAACCAACTGAATGCGACATAGAGATTAAAGTCCACAACATAATGAAAATATTAAACCAAACTGCCATGATAAAAAGACTTGTACCCACAAGGAGTTGGATTGAGTATATAACGATTCAATACTTCGAGTCCTCGTTCACTTTGCTAATCAACATTAGACATTATATTATTATATATAAGTCACAAATGACCTTGGGGAGTTCAGTTTGGATGATTATGCATCAAACAGATTAAACACATTGAATTAGCCTGACTAACTTTCTGCATTAAGAAGCCGATTAATAATATAAACTTACACATCCGAAAATGTATTCTTATGATGAATGCTCATATAACAAACGGTCAACTTTTATAATGAAAATTGATCTTTTCTTTCTTCGTTTCTTTTGGAGCTAGCTAGTGATGATACTCATAGAATAAAGTGATCAGCCAACATCCTAAAATATGGCAGCCTAAGATTGGATTTATGATATCATCTCTGAATCAATTATATGTCTTCCATGTTAAACACTAAGTCAATAGTGTAAACCATTATCGCCACTTCAACGAAATCAAAAGAGTAGCAACTTAGAAGACCTCACCACTCCTCTACTGATCAGATACTCCACAATCTGAAGATGTCCATTAGCAGAAGCCATGTGTAGTGCTGCAGTTAAACCGTAACTAGTTCAAACACAGTTTTGCATAAGCTTGTAAAGATATTCACGATGACCAATAGTTTAATTATCACTAACTATAACAATTAAAAATGGCAAAAAAAAAAAAAAAAAAAAAAAAAAAAAATCAACATTCACATCAAAGTCTAGAAATTCAACTTAGAAGTTGGAAGAGACTGATTTCTAGAGGTATTTGTTTTTGTGTGCATAAAATAATTATACAAATCCTTGACCAAGAGCCAAGAGAAGATCACGGCAGAAGGTTAAGCTTAACAAATGACAATTTCTCACTTAAAACATAAAAGTAGCAACATGACATTAAACACCATCAATCTCTGAAGACTCTGTTACGCTTTATTAATTCTTATCATGTGAAATTTCATTTTGGTCAGCTGTTTGAACTAGTTTAGAAATCATAAACATCTCAGAAACAAGTAAGTAACAGAATTTGGAAATTTGGTGAAAGGAAAGCAAAAGGATATCCGTTGCGCACTGCATAAACACAAAACCTAGCTCAGTTTATGATATATTTCAAAATAACTAATACGCCTCATTTATTGGGAGGCCATACATCAACCCAATTATAAATATCTCAGCTGAAGCCAAAAGTAAAGCCACTTATTCAAGAAAAAGGGATATGCAATGCCACATGTCAAATGTCAGTTGAAGTCCTGTTAGGGAAGAAACGAAGAGGAACCGATGGGGATGAAATCTGCAAAGAAGAATAAAGAAGAGGGAAGGATGCATCCCATAACTAACGCAACGTTGCACCAGCAAGTTGCCTTGAAATGCCGCTCCTAGTGCTAGCGGCAATTTAGATTTCACACAGTATTTTAACCCAACACACATTATGCAGAGGAGCATCATTTTAAAACACCTAAGGAAGCTTGATATTTTAGGAGCATTTTAGTAAAATCATGCAAAGCAGCATCACTTCATTAGAAACTAGAAGTTCAATATTCTAGGTGCATCCATGCCAAGCTTGTGTAAAATCCAAAGCTATTCCCCATATGGGCATCTGACATAGAATTTTGTTCCTTCATCCTAACAATATTGAATAGACCTTCATGGGTTAAAAAATTGAATTTTAATTATATTAATTAGTAAATTTTAAAATGGATTAACTCTACACAAGGAAGCATTTCGATGAGGAAGTTTGAAATTAACAAGGAATATTAAAGCGACCAGATTTAAAAATAGGAAGGGATCTTTATTCTGTATGGTTTCATAAATCCATCCTCGGGGGTGATATGGTATTTTGAATAAGACACTCTTCTAATTTCCAACTAATTATCATTAAATAAAATAATAAATTTAAATTAACATATTCATTCATGTTTTCTTTTATTATTAGTGTAAGTTTTTATTATCGTACTGACTATGCTTAACCCCTTCGGACCCTGTACCATGGAAACTAGCATAACGCAGACCCGTTCTTGTTCACATACCCTCTCAATCCAGATACCAGTTAACATGACCCTATATTAACCCAGATCCCAATCAAGCTTCATACAAACACACCTGTGAGTGAAAAATTCCGCCTTTTTGAGTTGTCCATGGACTTTGGAATCCACTGTTCAGGAGGTGTTACTGATACACCCAGAGTTATGAAAGAACTGAGGGATCACCACTTCTTTTGGAAACAAGACATTATCAATAAAAACAAGATGTCCTCTAAAGGAAGAAAATAGAAACCCAAAACCAATATCTACCTACACCAAAGCAACTACAAATTATACCCAATACGCCAAAAGGAGACACTAAGAAACAACAGCATTCCCAACCGAAAAACTAAGAGAAAATGAGCTCTCCCTAAATGTCTATCACACCGATGTCCTAAGGAGATGCCCAGAAACAAACCTTCACCCACAAATAATCTGCCTCATCACCCTCTCAAATACGCTAACACCAAACTATTTTCTGATGAAATGGAAAACGTAATTCTTTACTTCCAACTTCCCAGATAAATTAGGTTTTGAGATGCCTATTCTTCTAATACCACTCCTGCATCTCTTCAACTTCTCTACATTTGTCACAAAATTTATAGATTGCTAGCAATGCTATCAGTCTCTGAGAGCAAGTGACGTTACCTACTGAATCCCAAATTTATTAACCACAAAAAGATATTTCAGATATTTTATACGCACTTTTGATAGCAGAGCATTGTTCTGTTGTCACAGTATCAACCTCATGTTGAATCTCTGAATCGAATTACATATAGCACAATCTAATTCTGTAACGAATACTAGAATGATAAATGCGCTACAAAGAAAATATGAATAAGGTACAACTCAGACAGAAAATAACAACCTGTTCGGCCGTGGAGATCCTTAGAATCAAGAGAAAGACCAGCAGATTCTAAGCTTATAATGTCATCGATGTCATCGTACCTAGCAGCCTGCCAAACATTGAAAAGACATCTCAAACTATAAATTTCTATCATGAAACAACCATCTACAACTCTAACAAACATCTTAGTGCACAATCAGACGCTTTGGAAAATGGAGTTGGATACCTCCAGCAAGGCCTCTACCCTCTCCAACGACGCCGTTTGGACTGTATCTCCAACTGTATTTCCCCCTTCTCCCATTTTGCCACCGCCGCTACAAGAAGAACACAATCGCTTCCATTAGCTTAAACCTAAAACCCTAAACCCACAACTCAAACCAGAATTCAATTTGTAGGAGAGATTCATAAAAACCGTTACAGGAATGTAACGCACCATTCACAAAAAATTTACCGGCAAATAAATAGAGAAAAATACCAAAGCTACATGTTCATACTCTGGTTATTGCTGAATTACCGTAAAATATAAAACAAATGAGCAAACCAAATAGGATTTTGCTCACCCAGAAAAAAGATAACTTCTTCAGACCAGAAATTTAAGCAACGAAAAAAGACGTCTTCCTTTCTTCGGCTGAACCGAGAGTTCCTCCTCCAACTGGAAATTTCACAATATGGAACAATCTGTTACAACTTTAACTCCTTGTTTGCCCCTTACATGTCTTTTATTCCATGTGGAAGTTCCAACCGTATTAATAATGCTAGGAAGATTAAAATTTTAAATTAAATTTCGTAAAAATTGTTAATGATTAGATTATATTTAAATATTGATTAACGAATTTATTTGTTATAAGTGACATATAATTTGATGTGTAAATTTAGTTTGAAAATTTAATTTCCCTGACATTATCTTTACTCAAAAGGCATACCTGTCAAAATGACACTTCTGTTTTAATTATTCGACCATTTTAATTCGTATTTACAATTTAGCCAATTCATCTTTGTATTGTACTCATTTAGCCAATATGATCAATTTTGCTAATTTAAACCAACTCCTTGGAGGAATTACAATCAGCACCTCTTCAAATGAAATGGGCCAACTATTGGACTGACACGTATGGGCCCAACAAAGCTCATGTTGTCCAATTTAACAATAGTTTGACTTTCCTTGCATTTTCACCGTAAAGTCAATATTTTGATCTCAAACTATAATTCAACCAAACTCGCACAAAACATCTTGATATGATGGATTTAGGCATCAAGCGTAATTTGCACCCGTAGAAGTTGATGGTCAAATATAAATGCACCTAGCTTGTTTGTCTTTAAGATAGTAATATTTGAGAGATTGATTTTTTATTGAAGTTGTTTAGAGTTTTTTCCGTTTTCTTTGCTCTTCCTTAGATAGTGGCCTCACAAAATCGTGGATCTTCACTCATGCTCATCCACAGTATTTGAATTTTTCCGCTAATGATAAAACTTTCACATCCACGCGATTTTTCTCCTCACAATGACTATTTTATTCGTAGTTTATCCTCAACGACTTTGGGCTCCTACTGTAGAACTTATGTGAATTGTAAGTTATGGTCCGAATGGGGCGAACTTATTTAATAGGTTGTGCATGATTTGTATTGACGTGTCTCTAGGGGTGGTATGGTATAGGATTCCAAACCGAAATAGGATCCCGAATCTTAAACCAAAAATTTTCGGGACGGTAATTTGAAAACCAATCCCGAATTGGAATTTCAGTATTCCCAATTTTGGTATTTCAGGATGGATCGGGATTGCGTTTTCAGTCTTGGGCTTTTGGGCATAAACTTGAGATTTTTGGGTCGTGGGCTAAAATTTGGGTATTCGGCTTAAAATTCTGTTACCCAATTTCATATCAATTAAAATTTAGGTTTTTTTACCTATTACTAATTTGAAATTTCTTAACAATTGAAATACCAAATCATTCTTACCAAGTCAAATTGACATTCCAAAGTTCCAAGAAGAGGCTGAGTCATGACCATTCCTCCCTACAACCAATATGGCAGAGGCCAGCGTTTACAATCCCAGTATTGGAATTTTCAGTGCTGAAAAAGAGTGGAGCAAGGAGATTCCAAGCAACCAAGATAATAAAGAGTTTTTTTGGAAAGGAGTTGGAAGCAGCCATACAAATGGCTAAATGTATATATGACTTAGACTGGCTCAAGGATATGTCTGATAGCCCTGAGCTAGTCGAATTTTTGTGAACAGAACCTGATAAACCACTATTGGAGACATAAGACCCTTCAGAAACCATTGTTTTAGGAACTAAAGAGGATCCAAGGCCTATACAGATCAGAGTCCTGTTAAAAATGGAAGATCGTGCAAAGATAATTAGTCTTCTGCATGAGTTTAAAGATTGTTTTGCATGGTATTACACCAAGATGCCATGTTTAGATTCAACCTTAGTAGAACACATAATGCCTATTAAGGAGGGATATAAACCTGTGAACCAAGCACCACGAAGAATGTCAAAAGAGATCAAAGAAAAAGTCAAAGAAGGGATTGAAAGGCTAGTGAAAGCTGGATTTATTAGGCCTGCCAAATATGTTGAGTGGTTGGTCAACATTGTACCTGTATTAAAAGGTATAACTAATGCGGTCTGGTGTTGTGTTGACTATGGAAACATTAATGGAGATATGCCAAAAGATGAATATCCCATGCCCATGGCTGACTTATCCGTGATGCAGTTGCAAAACATAAAGTGTTAGCTTTCATAGATGGTAATGCTGGTTATAATCAGATAAAAATGGCTGAAAGAAGATATAGACAAAATAGCTTTTAGATGCCTAGGCCATGTTGTAGCATATGAATACTTAGTCATGCCATTTGGACTAAAAAATGCTGGTGCAACCTATCAAAGTGCAATGAATGCCATTTTTCATGACTTGATTGGCCATAGGATGGAAGTATACATTGATAACATCGTGGTGAAGTCTAAAACTGAAGAACAACACCTAGTAGACCTCATGCAAGCCTTAACAAGAATGAGGACCCATAAGTTAAAAATGAATCCTAAGAAATGTGCTTTTGGGGTAAGGTCGGGCAACTTTTTGGGATTCTTTGTTCATTAAAGAGGGGTGGAAGTCGACAAAAATAAAGCTCGAACAATAATGGAATCATCTCCTCCCACCAATAAAGTACAACTGCAAAGGCTGCTGGGGAAAATCAATTTCTTGAGGAGATTCATTGCTAACTTGGCGGGCAAGATTTAGGCGCTAACTTGTTTGTTAAGATTGAAAGACAAAGAAGAGTTCGAGTGGGGCTTACCACATCAAGAGGCCTTTGACAAAATAAAGGCTTACTTGACTTCTCCACCAGTGTCTACCTCTGAAAAGTCAATGGGAAACTTGCTGGCTCAAAACAATGAAGGAGGGAAGGAACAAGTAATATACTACCTCAGTAGAATCCTTACTGAGGTACAAACAAGATATACACCAATGGAGATGTTATGTTTGGCTCTATACTTCATTGCCTGCAAGTTAAGGCATCACATGTTGCCTTGTCACATCCACATTATTCCTAAGACTGATGTGATCAAGTATATACTGTCAAGACCAATGTTAACTGGAAGGATTGGAAAGAGGATTCTAGCACTTTCAAAGTTCAGGTTTCAATATGTGCCTCAAAGAACGATAAAGGGACAAGCAATTGTAGACTTCTTAGCTGAGCACCAAGAGTTTCAAGATGAGATCATCAACGTTCCAGGAACTCTGGAAGCGGCCAGTAAATGGATCCCACCAAGTAAAGCCTTCTCGGGCAAGGAAGAATAGATTCTGCAAGAAATAAAGAGGATAGCTAGTCTCTGGATCATCCTTAGAGATTGTATTTTGATGGTAAAAGCTTCAGCTATCAAAACTATCACCTCAAATGCAATCAAAAAGTTCATTGAAACCAAGATCTTACATATATTTAGGGTGCCCGAGACAATTATTACAGACCACATACCATCTTTTATTTCAAATGAAATAGAGGAGTTTGCAAGTAAGTTCAAGATAAAGATGGTCCAATCTAGTCCTTACTACCCACAATCAAATGGTCAAGCAGAAGCCAGCAACAAGGTCTAGGTGAATATTATTAAGAGAATGGTGGTGAATAGTCTTGAGAAATGGCATGAAAAGTTGGGAGACACTTTGTGGGCGTATAGAACCTTCAAGAAGGCAGGAACTGGAACTACTCCTTACGTCCTAACCTTTTGGCAAGATGTTGTACTCCCCATGGAGATAAATGTGAGTTCTGTTAGGATACAAAACTAGTTTGGGCTACATAGTGAACAATACAATCAGGTTATGTGTCAAGGAGTTGATGATCTAGATGTAGCCCAAATTGAAGCTCTAAATAAAATTCAAGAAAGGAACAAAGTTGTTGCCTAAGCATAAAATAAAAAGGTGAAGTTAAAGACATTCAGGGAAGGAGAATTAGTGTGGAAGGTAATTCTACCTTTAGGAGCTCAAGCTAGCGACTTTGGGAAGTGGAGCCCTACTTGGGAGGGTCATTTCATTGTCAATTAAGTGCTAGATAAGGGAGGACGTTACTTGGCAGATTTGGAAGGGAACTTGCAAAGGCACCCAATTAATGCTAAGTTTTTAAAGAGATACCATCCAACTTTATGGGATACAAGAGATTGTTATATCGAAGAAATCTAAGCAAGTTAAGAAGGGTTGAAGTTAGATTACTACAATTGAAATTCAAAAGGAGATAAGACAAGGTAAAGATGAAGAAGAAACTTATTTCATTCCATATAAAGATTACAATGGCCGTAGCCTAAGATATTTAAATTTTCATCCATAGTGATTATTCTAGAGTGATAAGTTTGCATAATTGTAAAGATTCTGCTAGACTCGGCCAAAACTATTCTGCTATTAGCAAGTTGAGACTCAGCATCCTTCATCTCCAAATTTGCTTTCTTCACTTCCTCAATTTGTTGATGAAGTTTGCTGAGTAGAAGAGTCTGTTCAGCTTTCAGCATAACAAGTTGCTCATCTAGCTTTTGGATCTCAGACGTCACCATTTTGATCATTTGCTCTATACCTGAACCTTCATCCACCAATTGTTAGATATGAGCTGAAGTACTGGTTTGTTTCACCTTGAAGCACCTAACTCGATTCGCTTGCTTCTCATACTGGAGTTTAGATAATTGATTAGCCTTGAACAGATCAGTGATAGCTTTCTTTACATCGTGGAGAGCCTTGAGGCTAAAGGATGCTAAGAAATCCCTCTAAGATTGCTCTTGAAAAATTTGACGTTGATCGTGAAAACCTTGGGGCTTAAAGGGATGCCTTAAAGATCTTAGTCTGGTCTTGAGTTGCCCGAACTCTTTAAAAAGCTTAAGCAAAGATGTTGTGGTGGAGATAGGTATATGGGAAGAAGGCAATGTTCTAGCTCATTTAGAAGGTGCAATTGTGGAAACAGTCTCAGTAGATGGAGAAACCGAAGGGTAAGAGCAACCATAGTCTTAGTCTTCTTTTTAGGCTCAGGGATATGAATCCCTGTGACCCTATAAGCTAGAGGAGGTCAGGTAAGTTCTGTCTTACGCACCAGAGGTGGTGGAAAATTGTCCGAGTCCTCTCCAGGGCCCTGTTGCAAACCAAGAAAAACAAAGTTAAGGAAAAGACTACATTTAAAAAAGAAAGAAGACAAGATTAGAGAAGATAATATACCTTAGTAGAGCTTGGGACCTTGGAAGGAGGTAGAGGAGGAGTTG